TTTTTAATTTATTCTCTTATTTTTTTATAACTATAATGATCATATAAACGTGGGGCCTCGGAAATAATTGTTTACATTAATGGTGACCAAAACGTTTGAGACCCACTGAGATAACACTGAGAGTCCTTTAGCTCACTGAGTCTCTCATTCTGACAGGAGAGGACTCTCCTCCACTTTGTTGTTGAAAAAACTCCTTATATCCGTTAGCGTAGCTCGCTAGCACCAGAAGCTAACAACAACGATCTCCGGTACCGGTGCGCTCTCACTCGCGCACGCACACAAAATGGCTCGTTCCACACACACACACAGAACCAAACTTTAATGAAACACAGAGACCCAGACGTAATAGTACTGTATAATATTATTTTCGAATCAATAATTTTTAAAACATTTTTTTTTTTTTTTAATGTTTTTTTCTTTTTATAACCATTTTTCCTCCTGGTCTCTCGCGCCCCCCCTGTCATGCCTCTGCGCCCCCCTGGGGGGGGGCGCGCCCCCCACTTTGAGAACCACTGATTTAAGTAGAGTTAGCTTAATTTGATAATCATTTTGAGAAAATAATCCAGATATGCCCAGGACCCCCTTAAACAGAGGTGAAAGTGTACCTTGATGACGTTGGCCAGCTCCTGCAGCGTCTGTTCGTAGCGTGCCTCCATCCCCTTCAGGCTCTCTGGTTTGACGATCTGCTTCTGAATCCCGGGCGTTCCTGCCTCCACCACCATCTGCAGGAAGTTCTTCTCCTGAGGGGAAAACACAGCACTCTGTCTCATATCCCGTTTATGCTCTTCACAATCAGAATACCTTTCATTTAGTGTAAGTAGGTTTACACATACGAGAAATTTGCTTTGGTATGAATGATGCATTCAAAGACACAGTAAGAAGTATACGTATGTAGTATATTTTTGCCTCACTTATCTATATTGAATCATGTTTTCTTAAAATGTTTGGGATATAGTGATAATAGGGAAGGTAAATACAACTAGATGGTCACATACAACATATGATCAATCAATCAATCAATGTTTATTTATATAGCCCAATATCACGAATGTTACATTTGTCTCAGTGGACTTCACAGTTTGTACAGAATATCAGTATGACAATACAACACCCTCTGTCCTTAGACCCTCACATCGTACAAGGAAAAACTTCCAGAGAAAACCCACAGTTTAAAGGGAAAAATGGGAGAAACCTCAGGAAGAGCAACAGAGGAGGGATCCCTCTCCCAGGACGGACAGACGTGCAATAGATGCCGTGTGTGTTTAAAGAGTACCTGTACTCCCAGCAGGAAGGTGAAGGCCAGGCCCGTTTTCCCTGCTCTGGCTGTCCTTCCAATCCTGAACAGAAACAAAGAAGCCAAGTCACAGAGAGAATAAGCCACATCTGGAGGATATTCTTCACTAAACATCCTTTGTACTCCTTATAGTACCTGCGGTTATACACACACAGGTCAGTTTGATGGACAGTTCACCTGTGGATGTATGTCCGGATGTACTGCGGTGCGTCATAGTTCACCACACATTTGACCCCGTTGATGTCGATGCCTCTGGCGGCTGCGTCTGTGCTGATCATCCTGCAGGACGCACGTTAGCTTCATTATTGCTCCTTGAATCATTCAAGCTTACACTGCAGGAATTCATGCAGTGGCCAGGCCAAGTTAAAAATACAAATACAAAAAATATACTTATTATGCTGTCACACCTTTGTTTTTGTAACTTGTTCCCCTTAGTATTTATTGATACTCTTTAGTCTCCTTTAGACAGAGATGGCAAAAGTACACACGTCCTTTACTCAAGTAGAAGTACAGATACTTGTGTTAAAAATACTCTGGTGAAAGTAGAAGTACTGACAGGGGCAGCGGGTACTGTAGGCTAAGGAAGGCTAAGCCTTCCCAAATATTTTTGTCACTGCATCCTGGTAAAATAAAAATATAATGTTTTTGTCTTTAAATTAATGCTGCTATGCAGCCACCTGTGCCCTGTGCTACGAAGCCAGTTCAACATACCCTGGATATGTTTGAGTAACAAACAAACTAACAACAACAAACTAGCAAACGAGATCTCGCTATGCGGTCCTACAACGCTGGTTATC